TACAATTGACTTTTCCGTTCTGAAACTAGCTGGGTGAACGACTTTCGCCTGTTAGACATTTCCTTTTATTCGATAATCCGGACGTTTCCTATCAAACGTTACTATATAGTGAAAATGGAAAATTGGCTTCCCGATGCAAATGCTTGTGTTTATGCATGAGAGCGCAAGACTCGCAGTACAGGATTGGTCAGTTGAGCATCAAATTGAACCAAATCACCTAAGAAGCGTATGCTTTTCGCTCGTGTGTGTGTGTGTGATGTTGGTGATGAAGCGAGTTTTGCTGCTGTCGTCTTTAATCGCAGATCAGTCAGGTGTTCAACTGAACCTCATCGAGATATCGCGTCCACCTGTGTATGTGCGTGTGCGCGCACTAATGATTCAGCCTTTTGCATGGCCCTCAGTCTAAGCATCTCTTTTTATGACACTACTGATAAATTACCTTTGATTATTGTCTAAGCTAGTGCATTATGGTTATTTACCCAATATATGATTTACCTCATCATGATCAGGGATCCTCAAGAACCATTTTTGGGCTTTGTAATTGTATAACTTTTGCAAGCTGAGATGTGCTTACATTTCAGTTAAAAATTGTTTACTGAATGTCAAACCGGAGAAAATATAGAAGTATAGGCAGATCCAACAGAGTCCTGTGTAAAAAATGTCTCCGAAGTTTGATTCATTCAATTAAATATTGACGTATTTCATTTATAACTAGTTTCTTGTTGGTCAAAACTGGAGCCAGATTCGGTACAGTGGAGTTTTCACAAATATTTATTCTTGAGGGTGCATACCGATAGGAGAAGGAACGAGTGATCGAGTGGGAGCGACAAGATGATAAGTCAAGATGTAAAGGGTGAGAGGGGTTGTTTATGATCTTATTAACAAGACTTCATGTGGCCATTGATTTACCCGATTGATTTACTCTGACTGGGGAACAATTTTTATTCGTTTGGGGTGCCATATAAGTCAGCCCTGGGGCAATGCATTTATTGAATTAAGCTGTTCTAATCTATATTTGTTCCGTGGTCAGTAAATAGTTGTTCCAACCTCGTTCGGAACGCATCCGTAGCGCGTGCTATTCGGTGCTCTCTTTTCTTGATTTGAACCTCTCGCCCGCAGTGTGAGAGACAGAATCAGAATCATGCATAGACCGCGATTTTTGAGGATTAATTTATATCAAACAAGAGTGTATTTGAAACGGAGAGCAATATGACACGGTGAGAAAAATTCCGGTATGGTTATGATCAGTCTGGACACGAGGCATTCACTCCAATCTTCAAATAATAATAATAATCCCTTTTGGAGTATCAAGCTTGGATTAGCCCATTCGATTGTTTAGAGGTACCAGGCAGTGTTGCCAGTCTTGGGTGTAGGTTTTACTCCTTGGCAGATTGTTAATTCCCGAACAGAACGAAAATGCTTTCCAGTGCTCTTTGTTGGTTATCACAAACATTTCAATAGTAATACCTGTTTACCTAACCCGAAAAATTGTAGTGAATCGCTTAACTGGCACGTTCCCATCCCAAGTTTGATTGTTCATCAATCAGTTGTTGTTAACCCTGAAATACACACCAGTTTGCACCCAATCCATCTGTTTACAAACGATGAATTGATATGCAAGTGAAATTATTTAAGGTAACTGATATTTGGAGGGTCTCAAATGGTAGATACCAGATGACTGCGGCAAAATGACACCGTGGTCAAATTATTTTAGCCGAACGTTTCGCGAAGGTAGCTTGATAGAACTACGTCCCACAGTTTCGTAGCGCGCAACAATACGGCCAACACATGATTGTGTGTGTGTGTGTTACGCTAAGCCCAACAGGGAAACTGTTCGCGTCAGACGAGACTGGTTCATCTACTTGTCCGTGCACAAAATTAGCCAGTATTCAAATCCTAGTCTTACAAATGGTCATTTCCGATGCAAAAGCACTATCCACATTCTCCGCATGTACCTTTTCAATATGAGATGATGATGATGAAGCAGAGTATCAAGAAGGGATAGTGACTGTTTCCCTTCAAGGGTGCATTTTCATACACCAACAAAAACAAACAGTCGGGATGAATTAATCATTTCGGACAAACTGTGTTTGACGTTTGTGAAAGGGCCTGTGCAACGGATTCATTTTGGCACGCAGATTGATGATTATGTCCGGCAGATTTGGTGTTAATAGTCCCCGGAGAGGGGGATAAATGAGACTGAGTCTGCCCAAACTGAGAGATGATCTAGGCGGTAGGCGTTCCGGACGAGGCAATACTAAATAGAGTAGGTGTGTTCAAAATGAGATCTATATAGCTGATCTCAATGAGCCTCCCGGTCGTTAGATTGTTCATAGATTCCGTATCTTTATTTGTACTTTGGCTTGGAACCAAGCGGGAATGCACCTAAACAATATGTCAAAAAGAAGAAGGTAAGTTTAAGTCAATTTAGGAAAAAAAAATAATGACGAAGACGGTTTGGGACAAACAATTATGGTCTTTTTTAGTTTTGATATTTCATGGTCATTCTGTCGTATTTCTTTTTACATTCATAGGTATGGGGGTTCAGTGTGCATTTGTGTCATTGCTCTGTATTCTGTGTCGTGAACCAAGATCAATCGGCACGAGTTGAACCAAAATCAGTGGGAATACAAAGCACAAAGCAATGTTGACTTTCTCATAGCCGATTCCAAATCACAATGTAACCACCACGTCGCCCCCCCCAAAAAACAGCAAGCTTATAAATATTTCGGAAAAAATAGATGACGACATAAAGCATTCAGCAGAACGTATTGGGTGTGTGATACCGAGGGTCGATATTCACACGCCAAAACACGATTACATACACAGCTCTTTATTACTCGATATTTCCAACGAACTTTGGCAGTGCTTCAGAGATTTTGCTAGTCGAACACGAAAAATTCTGAGCACTCCTCATTGAAAAAGATCATGTCTCGCTACCCTAAAGCATACAACTACAATACGCCGCAATAAACACCTTTTTCCCTGACAAAATTCTTATGTGATGACCGTGTCACAGGTATCTTAGGTTGATGATTGTTGTTCAGCCTGTCAATGTTCGTGAAGAAATCTCTTCCACAACAACATTTCTGGTTGTTATAAAACTTCCACAGTACCTGGAGCCTTTGACTCTTTCTAGCTAGTCCATGCAAAAGGTTAGCTCACATCGTATCTGGATACCTTGATCACCAGCTGATTCCAAATGGTGTTGGATTGTTTGTATGCGGTTGATCTCTCTTACGCAGAATTTATGTTCCTGAGGTGGGGGGGGGGTGGAAGTTCGCTCTAGCGTTTAGAAACCGGAAAAATATTTGGTAAAATTCCCCCCATTGGAAAATTAAAAAGAAATGGTATGATGTGCTCTCCTAAAATCCGTTACGTTTCATATCTATAAGCCGCGGTTAACCGAATGACCTAATAAAATTCCCTTAGCCAATATCTTCATTGTGTGTTGATACCAAAATACCTTTGGTATCTGGTTACCCTGAATAATATTGTTATAACCCTATCTACGATGAAAATGGAAATGCTGTGTGAGTTTATAGAGCATTATAGTAAATCTAGTATCAGGATAAAGCATGTAAATCACATATTTTATCCTCTAATAAAAGTTGAGATGTGCATATTTGTTTATCTTGACTCTCATCTCGGAGCAACTGGAAAAGTGACATACGTTAGACTGGAAAAAGGAAGAATCCGGGTGTTATCACTTCAAACTGAGACAAACCTCTTAATCAATTGATGTCACTCTCTCACTTCTCGGTATTAGGCGTGCAACCTCGGTCAGAAAAACTAGACACTAGACAGCTATCGATGAGAAGATTTCCGATGATGAACAAATTACACTAGGCAGCTGTTGCTTGTCCTGTTTAAGACTCGTCAGCAGTGTATTCTTTTTCCAGAACTCGAATCGCAAACATTCGGGTCGGGTCTTCAAACCCTTACCCGTTAGCCACATGTGCGATGATCATCAGCTTGTGCGAATGGTTTAAGCAGTTACGGGTAGTAAATTTTTGGAATAATTCATTCGATTATTCACAAACAACAGACATTGTTGATGGATTATTTCGGATTTACTACTCTTAAGTGAAGCTATCCATTTTTTAAGTGTGAACAACTTAACTCTCTTGAACGTGTTCGTCTCACCCTGTTCACAATGAAACAGCTGACAGTGTCGTGGAGCGCGTGTTCGGATCATCGGCCATACCTCTGTAGGTTGTGTTCATAGATCAATCCTAAACACAGCACCCGTCTTGTTCAGTTTCTCTCTCTCTATCCATAACGGTTCGGTGTTGCGCTGGCTGACGCGCACACGCACAAACGCGACAACTTAAAACAAAATCCTTATGCGAGAGTGTAGTATTTGTAGTACGCACTGAACATAAAATACGAATCACGGGTTAGCAATCACGAACGAGGCGTAAGCACTGGACCACACTGGTGATTGCACGCAATATCGTACGTAACCGAGACGTTAGAAAAACGTCACAGGAGCAGTAGTTTGTTTATTGAAAGAAATAACGGGGAGTAAATAATATGTACAAAACAAGCTGATTGATCATCCGAGCCTCTGTCAATCATATTGTAGTATTTCTGCCGTTGTTGGGCTTCTGTCTGGCCCGCACGGTTTCCGATTGATTAATACGATCGGTCTAGGGTTTGTGGTTCTGACGCTGTGACACGTACGCGCATTGCTGACGTCACCTGGGAAGTCTGATTCATTACAATTAGCCGAAAACTGTGACGTAACGCTCCGTGGCATGCGTCATGTCGTAAGCCAGGATCACCACAGAGAGATAGCCATTGCGGTACAAAACGAACACATGTTCAGGCACGAAAACCGGATCTGTTGTATTAAAGCTTATGTGCTTTTCTTCTAAACCTCTCCCAGTACTATGTTTTAAATACCTTTTTCCGCCATCCACAACCAAATTAACCTTCCGTTCCGTCGGTTTTCCTATAACATAAAACTTTACGTCAGGTTAATTTCAACTCGGACACATCGCATAGATTCTCCGTTTCATCTTCACCTAATCACCCGAGTTAACGTTTCTTCCATCTAAAAATGCATCAAAAATGCATGTTATTCAAATAAGTGATTGTGCGGACCAAACCAGACCCACGTACAACCGTTTGTAGTCTTGCTTTACTTTATAATCTCCCCGAAATTGTCTGATCCTAGGGTCATGCGAAAGAATTGGTCCAAGCAACTCGAGGCACATTGTTTCTAGTGGACTCAAAAAAGAAAGAGCTGTACTCGAGCATTCTCGACATGGGTGATATCAATTCGCCCAAATTTGTGGACACCGAAAATGCCGAGATCAGGTTAGTTTGATTTTTGCCGGTTTGGTTTGGTTTGGACCCATATTTATTTGAACATTGATCACAAACCTCGTGATCGTGTGGAACGAAGCCGTGTGAATGAGAGCCATTGGCTTTCCAACCGATGAGGATTTGTCACAAATGAGCACTGAGTAGAATGGGTATAAAAGATGATCAGCAGTGCTAGAGCGATCGGCTCTGCAAAATGGCTTTTAGTACAGACGACCAGTTTTATCCCTATTTAGGCTTCAGACCAATTGTTGTACCAATCTGCGAGCTCACAATGGTGATAAGATCATCCTAGGGGCTGCGTAGGTTTCCTGTTCCCCTGCTTGCTGCACTATCTGTGTGCATACGTTTCAGCAGTAATGTTGGATTTCGTTATCCGTTTACTATAGTGAACCACTTGTTTAAAAGTTCACCACTCTATCTGACTACACTGATGAGGTACTCCGCTTATCGCGACTTTTCCCAAGTTTAACGGACACATTTATGCCCAGATCAAAAGTCAATCGTCTTCAACACTTGAAACCACTGAAAACACTGAACCCGTTAGTGAAAAGACACTCGTGGGAAGAATTAGTTCTGTGAACATTTTTCAGTGAATTACTGTCATACAAAATGCTACGTTTAACTTTTTGTGTTCCGAGATACTACTCACTTGTGATTAGTAGGTAGCATAGTTGGTGATTTATTTCAACGATCAAAAATCAACAAGATCATCGAACGCAATTTACTCTATCCTAAAGAATAACTATTGACTGCTACATTCATAACTCATTATGTGGCAGGAACCACAATGGTATGTTACCGATGAGATATCTGTGCTATGTATACCAAATTAGTTATGTCCCATCTGTAATCCTCAATAAATAACTATCGTCGACCAACCCGGCCTTCTGGAATTATCACATTATTAGTAGTTAATTTTATTGTTGAACGAAACCGTCGGTTTCGCATCCCGGTCCGAACCGGGATCATTTATTCACGGCACACTTTGTCAGCTCCATTGTGCACTGTTGCTCCCTCTCTCTCTAGTGATTGATCCACAGTCTGTAGATCTGTTTGAATGGATCAGTCACGTTTTGGGTACACCAGTGGAGGAACTGCAATCAGCCGGGGAAACGTGAAACAAACAGTTTGTGCAAAAGCATTCCAGTCCCAAATTGGAATTGTTCGGTGAAGTTCTTTCTGATTGCACACTCCTTTCGGTGCCGTATTTTTCCCCGCATGTCAGTTTTTTCCAGTCATTTGTGGTAAATGTTGTCAAGGATTGGGATCCATAAAAATATGGTATCGTTTTTTGCCAGCCGAATGACATATAAACGAAGACTGACGTAGTCGTTTCCAAGTTCCATTGAGAATCGATCCCCGTTCTGCATTCCACCAAATTTGTTAAGCATTTCGAACTTTATATGTATTCCATCCACATGTATATACATTTGGCCATCAATCTAAAAAGGTACAGTGCCAACGTTGCATACCATAGAGTGGGAGACTTCATTCCTAGCAGTCAGTTATGTGCTCACCAGTGGTTCCTTAGGTTCCAGTTCTATATGTTTGTTTATGCAGTCCCTCCTGGAGTGCCATGCTTCGATGAATTCGATCGTACACGGAATCCAACCATGGAGTCCATGGTTTCAACGTGTTTGTGAGAGTGTCCACAAAGGATTACCACCAAGACGGTTAATGGATTAAACTGTGTCACATGTGAGGAGAGGTTACGATCATTGTGACCATATTCTACTCAGTACCGCCGAATTCGAGGAGATTGGATTTAGAAGTATCGAATACTGCAGAACCAAAACCATCCATGTCGGTCGCTGCTCACGAACTTGAACATCGTTTCAAGTTACTTTTTCCAAAGTGTCTATGGGAATGCCGGCGTCAATCTTTTGCAGATTATGCAGTACTTGGAACATCCTTCTATCTCACGTCGTTTGTGCACCAAATGTTGAATCTTTCTAGCGGGGACTCGATGAAAACCTGGAACACATTCCTACACTACTGAAAGTTCAAGTTAAATAAGCATCGTCAATAACACGAAAGTTAATCACATTTCGAGTGTCTACGTTTGCTAATGATTCCCCCTCCCCCTCGCCAGTGAAACGAATCGATTTTAAGGCCATCTGGGTTTTACATACTTAGAAACCAAAATAATCGAAACATCCAGCTACAATCAGCAGAATCAAAAAATATATATGTTTTAGGTACACCCCCATGCATTTCTGCTTAATCCTATTGAAATGTGCACTTTAATGATGGATGAACATTTTATTTCTTTACAAGGCATATTTCCAAACATTTCTTGTTCACCGAACTGCGATGATTCGCACAGGCGGGCCCACGCACCCTACTGAACTGTTGTCTGGTGAGTCATACCAAGATGACTGTCGGTCACGCGGTGCTGAGCACGTTGAATTGCCCTATTCGAGATGAGAAAGCTTCCCACATGGTGTATATGACTCCAACAAGGAAGTCAACACGTTCCCCTGTGAATACTGAATACCATGTAGAGAGCAGGGAGTGGTAACCTGATCAAAAATATAAACTGACGAATATTAGGAATATGTATCAAACACAGCTACTTCAAGCATCCGCAGAGTTCTGTCTGGTCAACCTGTTGATGCTTCTAAGCAAGTACTTAAACTGATCATGAAGTGCATCAGAAGTTTTAAAGCCTGATTGTGTCACGCGTAGGTGGCCACGGAGATCTGGACTGTTGGATCGATGCATTCTGTTCAATAGTAGCATTCTTAGTGCAAGATTGGTTGGTTATCTGCGTGAAACAATAGCTAGGTCAAGTTAAGTACATGTTCCGATCAGCAGTGTGTATCTAGCCTAAAAATTCCAGTTGAATGGAATTATTATTTAATAATTACAAATCAGTTCTTGTTAATCAGGATGGTTATGTACTTGAGTTTTATTTACTGTTGACGAAAAATTAGGAGTTTGGATCCTACTCAGCTGTTATATGTGTATTTGAAGGGCTGAAAACACTCCAAAGTGTGTTATGAGTCACTTATGTGTGTACCCAGACGTTTCAACTATCAACCTCTTCACGATCTGGCATCGAGAGACTTTTACATGTTCGTGAAAGTCTACTTGCGTTTGTAACACGGTGTTTGTATCGTGCATCACGCGTGGTGTTGAAAACATTTATACCTTGTAGTCATTTGCCTGCTACTTCAGTCAGCAGGAAATCTTCGTTTTCAAGTGTATGGCATGGAATAGCTGGGAAATCCCGTATTACGAACTCATGTGCGTGATCTCACGGGAATGAACAGAATTACAGTGCTGTTCACAATAAATGCCCAAGTCTTTCGCTGTTTACACAAAAATATATACACGTACACTTTAGGCTTTCGGTCATACGAAATGATGCATGTTCATAACAATAATTCCAAAAGTTCGAAGTGGAGAATGATACGAAAACGTGGGTGGCATACATCCAGTATATTACTAGCTTAATCGGTAGAATTCTACAAACCGTCATTTACTCACACTTCTTGATTAATTGTGTTACATTCCACTGGCTCCGGTGGCGGAATCGGACGGGAGGCGGCTTTCATTGATCCCAGTACACTGGATGAAACTGATGCCGTGTTTTTTATGTGTATTCGTTCGGTCTTATGCATTAGCCCCTGAGCTAGTGTCAATGGATATGAAGTTCCAAACTATGCCGAGAAACAAATGAAGTGACATATTCGCAATAGCATAGGAGCCCAAGTATCGAATTTCTATCTTCCCCTACTTGGTCTCGTCGAACTGTATCGTCCTTTGGCCAAAGCAAGCATAAACTAATCTCACCTGTTAGGCATCCAACAAGATCTGCAGTGATACATACTGGGCATGCACAGCGCAGATTCTGAACAGACTCTTCCTGTTTGGAATTGGACTAAATAATGATGCATCAGGGCTTAAGGACAACTGAAAACTACTGAGCGTTATTTGGCATAATAGTTCATTTTATCAAAATTAGGTAATACTTATCATATATACGACTCACTGAAAGTTCCAATAGTGGTACCTTACCAGTTATATTCACCCAAAAAGGAATTTTCAGTCCACAAGAAATCGATTCCCTTGTGAAAATCCACTTACTTTGATTTCTGTTATCGTCGGAATAGATTGTTAACAGTGCCTATTCAACGACAACATTAACCCTCCTTCTTTGTTGATATAAGCCCGGGCCCAAAGACATGTTACTTTCTGCTGAAAAGCCGCTTATCAGTGATTGGATCATTACCTGCTACGGTTTAGTACTTTCAACGAAATGGACAGTTGCATGCTATATCAGATCGAGAGAGAGAGATAGAGATCGAGGTGGAGAATCTTCCCGAATAACCTAAGGGATCAATACATCACATATACAATTCCTCGTTCT